TTTTTTTTTTTTTTTTTTTTAATTTAATACTGTATACTCTTTGAGACTGAGGGAAAACATTTGCAGATTTTGTACATCCTGCTCTTTAGTTCTTAAAAGTTGAATGTATTACCAATTCATCAAAATAAAAATTGCTCTAAAATGCATGAGGACAAAAACCTTACACAGCCATCATTCTTTATAAGTGCTTGCTTAAAGGAAATATTCTATTAACTGGAGAAAAGAAATTATACCATAAAAGGATCTCTTGCTATCTGAATTTTTGCATTTCATTAGCTCAGATAGCATTTTGGGGTGGTATGAGATTTTGAATTATTTAAATCTGTTTGATTTCTGAGTTTCTGATAATGAGATGTGCGAGTTCTAATAATGAGGCATTTATCCAAGTCTATCTTATCATACTCTACTCTATCCTGTCCTACAATAAGAGATCCCATACTGAGGGAAACCTGTATTTTCATTAATTACATTTAAGGTAAATTCTCATTTTTAGGTGTATATACTGCAAATTTCCAAGTTTTTTATGTGAATATTATCCTGTAGGCAAGTGGTTTAAATTTTTAAAAACACTTATATTCTACCTTGTTTCGTAAAGGATTCAAAATGGCTTTAGAGAGACACATATACTAACAATCTAATATAACTTAAAAATTACAGAGTTAGGGTTTAGAAGTGTATTATTCAGACTAGAGAGTGAATTCAATGGTGTGTGTGGGTTGGAGTGCATGGGAACTGCAGCATCCAGATTTAGGTTTTACAGTCTTGTGATGTTTTTAGTGTGTCCAGGTGAATTTTAGTCTTGAGGTTAATGAGGATTAGGCCATAGGGAAGGGATGATGCATGGTGAGGAAGAGAACAAAACGATGTTCAAAATACACAGCTTTTTAATGTCTGACTAGATTTTTCCATAAGTTCTGGGATGTCTAGAGCAGTTTTCAAACTTTTCAGCTGCAGGATCATTTTTCTCAAAAGGACTCTCTGCAGAAACCCAGTATGTAAAACTGATTAAAAAGTGTGGTTGCTTTGATTTAAAAAAGTGTTGGGGGCCTGGTGTTGTATAGCAAAAGTTTTGAGGAGAATAATCGATTGGTCACAGGTATTGTCTCCTAGTCATTAAAGATCAGAATATAGAGGTGAGAAATTTCACAGTTCATTTTGGATATTGTGCCTGATTTTTCTAACTTTAGCTAGTTTTAATTAACCTCTATGGTTTGTTCATTGGTAAAAAATGATACTGCTTAGTAGCCTGCCCTACTGTGTAGATAGTAATTAAATAAATTCATTTAGTTGCTCAAGCTTATCTGTAGTGCATAATGGCTTTCTTAAGCATGCAATTTATTTTTTTTAAGAACTGCATAAAGGAAAAGGAATTAAATGAATTTTTGCTTTTCCTTGAAATTGATAGCCATCTCTAATTTTCCTGAAGGTCCTTAAATTTAATGGTGTATATAAATGATTTGTTGTTTAAGTTTTAGAAAATTCTGTTCAATTTCTTAGCGATTGAGATGTATTTGACCTAGACTGGGATATGCTCCTTTGAGAATAATTTTGAGTAAACAGAATAATTTTAAGTAAACAGAAATAGAGTTCTATGTGTCTTACGGGTATTAGTTTGTGTACTGATTGTATAGTGTTCTCTTGGGATTTTAAAAGCCATCTGCTGTTTAAGGGAGTTGAAATTATCAAGT